CCGCCGTGCTACTGGGGGCCTATTAAGAAGAACATGGATGGATTGAAAATTCTTAAGCCAGAAGTACGAACAGTTGTGAACAGAATAAAACACAATAAAGGTAAAGGACCAGCTGAAATTGCAGTAGAACAAAAAATGTTTGGAAGAATTTGGTATAGAAAAGTTGACTATTATCAATGAGATTCATGAAAGTTGTAAAATACATGAGGATCTCAGTTAATCTATCGCCACTGTGCTCCCTCAAAAGACCTGGAACCACTGAATGTAAATACCATCGAACCACCAGTTTAAAGAGCCAAGTGACAAAGATCCCATTGAAAGTGTTGACAAAGAGAGCTGGATGTTGAATATGACCAGATATTGCAAAAGATCAATATGGTTTTGTTGAATATCATATACAAGAAACCCTATTTTCATGGTTCGAATGCTTTCAGAGAGGGCAAGAGAAATGAAGAAGGACATTTTCTTATATAATGTTGATTATAATTCTGTTTTCCTATAGTTAATACTTAAACCCTTGTCACTTTCACTAACAGCTACTAAAACTGTCGTCAGTATAATCAGTATAAATTCTCAACCTCCCTCAGGATTTTCTCACTGTATAAATTAAAGTCAGGTTAAAAGACACAGCCTTGCCTAACGCCTCTCGTAAATTGAACGAAATCACTTAATTTACTCTCTATCTTCAGTGCTGCGGTTTGGTCCCAATAGAGGTTTTTTAAAATTTTCAAGTCTTTATCATCAAGGTACAGTTCTTTCAACATTTTCATTAACTCCACATGCTTGACTATAACAAAAGCTTTGGGCATGGTTATTACAAAGAAGACGATCATTCCTGTATGTATTGTCAAAGTAGATAAGGCAGGTCAATATATTCAACTACCTTGGAAGCTGGATAACATCGGATGATAAATGTGATTATGAAATAAAATAGAGAATACAGATGACAAAAGAAGCATTTCTGAAAATGAAAATTTCTATGGGGATGAAGTTAAAAGTCTTGGATTGCAATGTTATACCAATTCTCATGTATGCATCATAATGTTGGACAATATCGCCAGTTATGTAAAATATAATTAAAGCAACTGATTTGTGGTTCTTAAAGAGGATTTTGAACGTATATTGGACAAGTTACACCTCAAATGAAGATATTTTATCAAGAGTAGGTTGCAGAAGAAAGCTGCTGCTTAACATAAGAAAGAGACAAGTGGAGTTTCTCGAACACGTTATGAGGAAAGAAGAAATTGAAAGTTTGGTCGTAACTGAAAGGATTGAAGAAAGGAGAGACCATGGAAAACAGAGATTGATTTATATCAAAAGTGTAGCCAAATGAATGAATGTATCGACATTGGAGAATAAATCTGTGGAAGACCATTCGGACAACGAATTGTATGATAATGAGACGAATTTGAAGGTTGAGATCTTCTTGCATCTAAGACAAACACCAGCAAAACTATATAGATTTTATTTCGTATTAGTTGAAAAGAGTAAAGGAATAATGGATGTTTATAATAAAAGTTTTGAAACTATGAGAACACTATGAGCTTTTGGTTTCCATGTGGTAATCTCTATAAAAAAACATTTCATGATCCTATAGGCCCACCTGGAACGGTTTTAGAGTACCCAATAATGGTAATTATTATGTTGAAAATAAGGGATTAGATTTTTTTAAAGAGACAACTGATAATAATGACGATATTAATTTATTGTTAATGGAAGACTGTGTTCACAGTAAATACAAATCGACGACAAGTCTCTCATTAATATTCTTAATAGAAATAAAAAATAGCTAATATATACCAGAAAGTCCCCCCTCTCCAGTGGCAAAGCGGCATGTCTGCAGACTTATACTACAAGAAACCGAGTTTCGATACCTGTGGTAGGCAGAGTACAAATAGCCCTTTGTGAAACTTGGTGCTTTATAACAAACAACAACAAAATACCAAAAAGTAATGTAACTAGAAACTTTGCATTCTATGATATTGGACATTGAGTGAAAGCTAGTATTGCTAGTAAACGCACGTTTAAACACAATCATATCATCGGTGACAAAAAACAACAACCTCAAAGTAGCTTAAATATAGACATGATATCGTCATTAAACCCACGGATAAAAAGGTAGTATAGTCGTATGACATAAGGATTTGTATGTAGCTGAGGTAGAACAACAAATATGAATACTACATTAAACTCCAAACGGATCATCTAGAGGAATACTAAACCATCATACAATAGATCCTATACAGATTAATAGATTCAGAAGAACTCCCACTATACGAGTAAGACCTACTCGAAGAACTGAGAACACCTTGTTTTACATCATACTTAAGATACACAAGTCTGAAAACCCTGGGAACTTATAGTTTCAACATGTGATTGTCCTACAGAGTTAATCTCTAGCTTTTTAGACAAAAAAAATTATACCTTTTGTACACACACTTTCAACTCAAATGAAAATAGCACCGAAGCTCTTCAAGTGTTTAATAATATTTTCCAAACCACTTCTAATCCACTACTATTCACGATGGACATCAAGTCCTTATATACTCTTGTACCACATAGTGAGAATCTTGAAGCTTTATGGTTCTACAACAACCAGCAACAAGTGCTAGAACCATCAACAGACACTCTTGTTAGACTAACAACTTTGAGGTTCTACCACAACCAACGACAAGTGCTAGAACCATCAACAGACACTTTTGTAAGACTATCTGAACTAACTTTGAGGTTCTACCATAACCACGAAAAGTGCTAGAACCATCAACAGACACTTTTGTAAGACTATTTGAACTAACTTTCAGGTTCTACCATAACCACGAAAAGTGCTAGAACCATCAACAGACACTTTTGTAAGACTATCTGAACTAACTTTGATGTTCTACCATAACCACGAAAAGTGCTAGAACCACCAACAGACACTCTTATAAGACTATCTGAACTAGTTTTGACATTGAATGATTTTTCTTTCAATGATACATATTATAAACAAAATAAACAGTGTAGTTATGGGTACCAAGATGGGGCCATCATTCGCCAACCAGTTTCTTTTCTATTTATGATTGACTCATGTCTGTGGTTAAATATTTCTAAAATTTCGTTCACAACGCTAGCTGCTTCAGAATCCTGGATCTCCGTCACTCATTTACTTGTTATTATTATTTGATTTTTAAAGAAACTTTTCAATATAATTGAAACTTTAATTTTTGATTATTGTTTTTATTTATAATGATATGTATATATGTATATTAATAGTATCTTACTTTTAAAATAATATTCATTTGCCTGTAATTAGATCTGTTGTATGACGCTTATTTTGACTGTTCTGTGTTTGATAATTCTTATGGTATCAAACCCTTTGTTTCATCAGAGTTTGTCCCCCGGTGGGACAGTGGGAAGTCTAAGGACTTGCAACGCTAAAATCCGGGGTTCTGTTACCCGCGGTGGACACAGTAGATAGCCCGGTGTGTCTTTGCTCTAAAACAAACAAACAACTAAAGTTTAAAATGAACAAAGGAGAGCCGTCTCAGCCCGAAAGTTGTGGACATTAAAACATCCATTTAACGTCAGTCAATTTTTGTGGTATAACTTTTCCCCCATATTTTGTTTTCGATTTCTTCTTACCACAGCAGTCTTTAGCTGAATTTTTTAACCTACCAGTTCATATAAAACTTAGCTAATATATCGACGCAACTCCGAAAAAGGTCTACACGAAGTTCACAGCTCTTACCATTATAAGCGAAAGTGATAAAACAAATTACTAGGTATTAATAAAACTATGTGCACTGTAGTAGTAAAACAATGTACGCGGTGGTAATAAAACAATATCCACGGTAATAATAAAACACTTCACACTAGACTAATAAAACAATGTACACGACAGTCATAAAACAATGTACACTACAGTAATAAAATAATGCACAAGGTAGTTGTAAAATAACGTATACGACAGTAATAAAACAATGCACACAGTGGTAGTAAAGCAACGTATACATTAGTAATAAAACAATGTACACGACAGTCAGAAAACAATCAATGCATGCGGTTGTAGTAAAACAATGCGCACGGTAGTAGTAGTAGTACAACAATGTACACAACAGTAATAAAACAGTAGTCGTGGTAGTAATAAAACAATGTACAGTACAATCACAAAACAATGGTACGCGGTATAAATAAGACACTGAACTGGGTGAGATCTAATCTGAGGTAGTCAGAGCCTTAAAGATTTCGGTTTTAATGAATTTGCATATATACTTTTAATGATAACTTAACAACATAAAAGATAGTCATATTTATGTACAACCAGTTTTGCCCGTCCCCTCAAAAAATGGCGGTTTGAAGTTTTGAAAAACTCCTTGGGAGCCCCGCCCTCTCTCCAGCGATCTTTGTTCACGAAACTTCCCCCTTTATCATAAAATAAAACCGTACGTTGAGAAAAAAAAAAGCAATTTTCAACTACACTCCGAAAAGTTCAAAATGGTGCAGCGTAAGTTAAAAATGGTTCATAATATAAACCATTACGTCACGCACAGACAAAATGAAAACTGACTTTTATGTATATTAGGCTTTAATTAGCGTAAAAACACTAGTATCACGCAAAAGTTCGTGACTTTTAGATAACTTTAAGAAATTTCATATCAAAATCTTAGTTAAATTAATATTTTTTTTTACTTTTCAGTTTGTTCTATGACTATAAGTATTATGACTATATGAAGAATCTTTCCAAGTCATTTCTAATGTTAAAAAGCGCTATAGAAGAAATTGGAAAAGTTTTTCGGCATTTTGTTATTTGATACAAAAGCTGAATTGAAGCCAGCTCTCGTCAAAAGTATTATACACAATATCAGGCGACAGTTTTGTTGCTCAGCTGCACAGACGAATGGAGCGTTACCCGAAGTGTTATATATATATATTCGATATTTGTCCAAGTTTTCTGAATGATAAAAACTATGAATTCGAATTGCAAGGTATTTAATGGTTTCATGAAAGAATTGTTAACCTACCAGTTCTTTAACAAAAGGAGCCACCATTGATCCAAAACGGGCGCACATTGAGCTCGACCCAACCCCAACATTTCGCACAACAGTTGGGAATAGTTCAACAGAGTATATATATAAAATACTAAATGAAGCGGAGACGCAAAATTTTCCAAACATGGTCAGGGTTATCAACAACCAGTGGAGATCTGTTGAGAAAAGGGAAAATAACTTAAATTCGCAATTATTTATGTACGGAGGCACACTATTATAACATAATAGTAAATTGACAAAAAAATATTGATAAACATAATGAAGTGGTCTATTTTGGTGGGAAGATATTACATATTTGGACAGAATTTTTTTTCTCTTACACCAACCCAAAGCTAAAAAAAAAATGTTTTGAAACAATAGAAATCATCAAATTAGACGATCTTTCACTAAACCGTAACAATGGCTCTAGCAACATCAATTAAATTTGGCTGAATATTTTCCCTTAGCTTTCGCAACACACTTAACCAGTCGTGACCTTGTCTTTAGCTATAATCCTGTTACTAGGTTACAACATTCCATAACATTAAACCTTTACGTCTTTTGTCTTTGCACTTGTATATAAACTTTTTTATTCACGCTGACGAAGAACCCATTTGAAATAAATATATAAATCTAATAGAGATGGCTGGTATGTGCATTAGAAACTTTTATTTAAAAACACAAAAGAAGTAACAATGTTTCGATCTCCTTGGTTCATCTTCAGGTTAAGCTATCTCTACTATATATATATAAACTGTTTATGTTTAGCTTTAGATCAAACCTGAAGAAGGCAGACCAATATTCTGTTGAAACACGTAATATGTTCCTCTCAAAATAAACCATTTCATTGTGCTTATAAATCGTTGTTTCTCAAATTACTATTAGCTTGCAATTAGTTGTTACATAATACAGCAAAATATAAAATTGCAATGTGAGCAAAAATATACTAATTATTTAATCAAACTATTGTGTTGAAATTTCCTTATCATTTAAGCCCAATAAAGAAAATTCAATCTCTTGTTGATGAGATGCCTTTGTCTCACAACAGGTATGACTTTTTTCTGCTACGCGATTGTATTTGTTTTTTGAATGTGTCAAAATGTTTAGCTAAATCAACAAAACTTTAGTTAAAATCCTGCTAATGTAATATGATAAAAAGTTGATTTATAAAGGGATGACAAAACAACTTAATCCTTCCAAGAGTTGACTTACTAATACACAGGATGACAAAACAACTTAATCCTTCTAAGAGTTGACATATTAGTACACAGGGTGAAAAAAACAAAACACTTAATCCTTCCAAGAGTTGACTTACTAATACACAGGATGAAAAACACACTTTATCCTTCCAAGAGTTGACACATTAGTACACAGGATGACAAAACACTTAATCCTTCCAAGAGTTGACTTACTCATACACAGGATGACAAAACAACTTAATCCTTCTAAGAGTTGACATATTAGTACACAGGATGAAAAACACACTTTATCCTTCCCAGAGTTGACTTATTAATACACAGGATGAAAAAAAAGCACATTTAACTCTTCCAAGAGTTGACTTCAGGGCGATAAAGAATACCTAATCCTCCAAAGCGCTGACTTATGTATATTTAGTTCATAGGGTGACAAAACAACCCAGTCCTTGAAAGATTTGACTTACTATTACACAGTACTATGAAGGATTATATGTTCTTTGTCACCCTGTATATTAATCAGAAATTTCAAAACCTTGTTGTACTTTGTCGCACTAAGGTCAACGCTTTTAAATATTAGATTGTTCTGCGTATTAGTAGGTCAATAGTTTAAGGTTTAGGTGTTCTCTGTCATATTGTGTATTAGTAGGTCAGTCGATTAAAATATTAGGTGTTCTCTGTCAACTTGTGTATTAGTAGGTCAATAGTTTAAGGTTTATGCGTTCTCTGTCATATTGTGTATTAGTAGGTCAGTAGATTAAAAGATTAGGTGTCCTCTGTCACCTTGTTTAAAGGATTAGGTGTTCTTTGTCACCTTGATATTAGTTGGTCAATAGATTAAACTATTAAGTTTCTCTGTCACTTTGTGTATTAGTAGGTCAATAGATTAAAGGATTAGGTTAGGTTTATCTGTCACCTTGTGTATTAGTAATTCAATAGATTAAAGAATTGGGTTTCTCTGTCAGCTTAACAAGGTAACAGAGAACGAATGCCTAATTTTTCAAAGCGTTGACTTACTAGTACAGAGGATGACAAAACTACCTATTTCTCATCAGAATCTGTTTGATAAATTCTTGTTTATAATTATCATAAAATAAATGATCAGCATGGTGCAATTTTCATTGAAAACTCGGTTAATTAAAGTTATTAAATTCGTACGTGTTTCATGTGTCTATTTTCGCTTTAAATAACAATAAAACATTAGAGCATAAAACATTTAGAATATGTACCGTTTCTTACCTTCGAAGCATAAAAACGAATATATTGATTTTTAAATAAAAACATGGTAAAACGTAGAAGGGATAGAAAATATATAACTTACAATTTGGAACTAGAAAGGTAAACACACAGGCAAGCCCACCAGAGACCATTAACGCCATTAAAGGTATACGACGGCCAAGGTGCTTGATTGAAAACATTACTGTAATGGCGGCTGGATACTCAGTTATACCAGCGATGAAGAAATTGATGTATGGATTCCCTCCCAAGTCATTTGTCCTCAATGAGAGCCCGTAAAAGGCAAAGGAAACCACAAACCTGCAAAAACCGTAAAAAAAAGTGAATTTCTAATATTCATTTTCTCCATTGAAGAATCTTTAGAAATATTCTTCTGTAATTAAAACTGAAGACTAAGCACGCTTAGCTGGTTTGGATAGCTTTACGAACTTAAGAACTGTTTTAAGTTAAAAAAAAAAGACGAGTTTTACTAAATTTTACGAAATTTTTCGAACCAAATTTTTAAGGTGAAAAATCGTACAATTTTACATTATCTACCTATAGTCACAGAATATATTCTGAGCAATAAAGTGTAATATATGAAAATAGTAAATACGAGAGGAGTAGTCATGTCATCTGAGCTGACAGTATTGGCGAAACAAATAACATTTTCTGCATGTATATCTAATGAAAGATTATGGCCTTTATATATTCAGCACTGTATTTGAAACTAAAACACACGAAACTTAATAAACTGTAGCAGTTTCAAGGCCCATAAATGAAGGAGTTGCTTATTTATGCCTCAACAAATACCACAAATGAGACCCAAAAATACAATGAAAAATCTCAACAAATTAAGCTCAACAAACACAAAATATCAGGCTCAACAAATCAGATTAAACAATTACGTGAAATTAGGCTTTAAAGATAAACTAAACCTAAATCCCAATTACTTGCTTAGAAATTACATAACTAATTCGACTTGTCATGTTCTCTGAAATATGATTAAAACGGCAGTCTGTTAAAAACTGAGTCAAATAAATGACAAATGACTCCAACTATCCTTCTCCTCTGAAACTCCGTTAGCTCTTTCCGTGTACTCATCGTTCGGCGTACAAGTTCGAAATGACTTCCGAGCGAACCGCTGATCACCTTTATAGGCCAAACTATTTGCAACTTTCGTCGTCACACCCATTTTCCTGCAATCAGAGGTGTGTCCCATGACTTTTGGTAGGATAGTGTAGTACTTATATCAACTGTATATTAACGTCCATTTATTGAATGGTCACCTGTAACATATCATTCAAATGTACTGGCAACTCTGCTGTCAGTAATTTTAACCGCAATGTCATGGCCAGTTCATTACAATGGTGAGGATATTATGTAGTGGTTGAAAAGTAAGATGATTAATGTTAAAGTGGTCAGGATATAAAAGTTGACAAGTAAGATTAAAAAGATGATCAAGATATATCATAATGGTTAAGAAGTAAGATGATAAAGGTAGTAAGGATATGACATAACGGTTGAGAAGTAAGATGATATAGGTGATCCGGACATAATGTAATACTTACGAATATGCAATTAAGTTAAGAGAACAACATACCAGGTGAAGAAAATGTTCAAACTTTTCTTTCTCATGTTAGAAGTCTTTAGCAAATCAAGGAAAGTAGGGTGACGAAACTTCTTAGTCTCTTCTCTCTACGAAGATAAAATATGACGTAATTTATTTCTAAACAGCATAACTGTACGTAGTGCATGATAATCTACATGTTTGTAAATATTACAACTTTAGATTATCTTCAATAAGAAACACTACCTTTCTCTATGTTTTTGATAAACATAGGTATTAGGTATTGATATTTACAAGTGTAAAACAAACATATATTATATATATAGACACACACACACACCAAGAAAAGTTGAACATCATGGTTTGAAAACACTCAGACCATAAGTGGAGATATACAATTTACATAACATAACATGTACAAGCATCATTTTTCAGAATTGAGTCCGTGCTAAAGTAGTCCTACTTTCTTGGTCATAGTTCATAAAAAGGTCCTTTTTTTAGTCTCACTCTGTTGACGTTAGTTTAATGTTGTTCTACTGTGCTTAAGTAGGTAGTCTTTAGACACTTAAAATTGAAACAAGCTTTCGTAAAGACCAAAATGCCATTTTATTTGACAAACAAATATATATTGAGATCCCACTAACATCAATTTCATCTCATAATTTAATCATTCATTCTCCGGCATATCTCTGGAGTTAATAGTTTTATCAAACTCATAAAAAACAGATTTTATTCAATAAAGGTTTATTACGTTTACTTTTTGTATTACATGATTACAAAACCTTATAAAGGCAATGCCTATCAGTTTTTTTTTTTTTGCAGTTTGTCCCAATTTTTATGCACCATTTTTTCCCCTAATATTTCCAATAATTTATCGTAAGTCTATATTCGTAGGTACCTTTACTTCCTTTCTCTTGAGATTCTGTACAATTTCTTTTATGTTGGTTACGTCTTTATGGTTAAGTCTCATAGCTGTTTCAATTTCTTTCTCAGCCTGTTCGACCTTCCCGTGAGTCAATAACCAACGAGGGGATTCTGGGAGAAGCCTGAAGAAAGATCATAGAATATTGTGACTCTGAATCCTCAAAAATATAACAGTTCAGTTTAGAATTAAAAAGAAATGTTATGTACATTTTTAATGATATACATATGTTATTTTATTCGAATACGTGCTCCTATTTAAAAAGCAAGGTCTATGTGATGTAAATATTGAAACAAATTCACACGAAAACATGAATATGTAATGTTATATACACATGTATATATATATAAAGCTGCAACGCATGTACGTGGGAGAAGTTTTCCACACTGGGGCTCCTGAGAACCAGAGTTTGTAAAATAATTAATGGTGCATTGCTTTAAAATTATTTCAATCATTTTTTCTTCACTTTTGTAAGCACCCCGCCTCAAAATTAATATTATATGGTCAGTCACCATTTCGAGGTTATTTTGTTGAAATACATTTGAGATTGATTTAGAGAGTTTTTCATTATTCTAATTATGCGTAAAAGATTGAACTTTTCAAACAATACTACCCACCACCAATGAATGGACAAAACTATCCACGGGACTGTTAGTGTCAGTTGCAAAGTAAACCAATCTCTCACAAACCAAGCTATTCCTGGTAGTATAATGTAGCCAGTGGTCCAGCATAGCATGAAGACAATTCCCATCACACTGCGATACTCTGGTCCAATCACTTCCATAACTATACACAAAATAAATGAGTCACTTCAAACACATTTTTCTGAAACAAAACTGTGACTCTTAAGTACATAGGTAAGCTAGATTAAAAGTAGGCTAGTTCGTCAAACGTTTTGTTAAGAATTGGTTGGGTTAAGGCTAAGTTAATTATTGATAGATATTAACAGTTATCCACGTTTCCTTAAATATGGAAATTCAGAGAATTATAGCTAATCTATGATTTAAATATACATTTATTCATCAGATTGAGCCTAACTGATTAGTATTTATATAAAACAAATGTTGCTATGATTACCGCCTTGTGAGAGCATAGTGAGTAATATTTTTAACATAGAATACTTTAAATATAAATACATTTATTAAATACAGCATTAAGGATAAAACATACATAAAACAAAAGCTGTTGTGACTGCTCCAGAAGCTCCAAATCCAACAAAGTATCGAAGTGCGGCAAACATGGCAAACGATGTAGAAAACGAACACGCCAAAGCAGAGGCAAAGAAGATGGCGACATTTATTAGTATAATGGGACGACGACCAAACCTGAAACATGAAAAAAAAATCGATTTGTGTTAAGGTGAGCAACAGATTAATGTACTAGACACTAAACGATGACAATATCTTATTAAACAAAAGGTTAAAGCTGAATCAGTGACTTGTTTTAAGTACAATGATAAGTTTTATCAACATTCCAATTCTCCATAAGACATTAAACAGCGTTGGAATACTACATAAATATAATAAGTTAGGTTTACAATAAAAACTATGTTTTTAACATTTTATTAACTGCTAGACTTTGAAAGATTAGCTTCAGTATGCAAAGTTTTGAAGCTAGAATTTTAAGTTTCTTTGAAATTAATTTAACTTTGATGGATTGCATGAAATGTGATAGTTATACTTAGCATAAATGTTTTGTCATAGTTTAGAAATGTTATCCAAGTTGTGGGAGCTGTTGTACTGAAAGCAAATAAAATGTTCGTTATTTGACTTCCAATGCTAGCTTACAAAAAATATAAGCAACACCTTTAATTCCTATCTGTTCGTTAAAAAAAAAAGCTGGGCGTGGTTCCGTGATTAGTGTGCTCAGAGTGTGAATCTGAAGATTCATGGTCTGCTGCTCGTTACCGTAAAAAGCGATCTGCACCGCTTGTGCCATAAGAATGACAACAAAATTCTACTTTTCGATCATACAAGAACTGACAGTGAAAAAAGACCTGTTGATTAACTGCCTTCCCTCTAGCGTATCAGTTTAAACTTATGGACGGCTATGCATAAGTAGCTCCACGTAGCTTTGCGCGAAATTATAAAACAAAAACCGTTCTTAAAATAAGCACCCTATAAAAAGCAGAAACCTTTAGCTGTAAGTTTCACATTCTAGTTATCTAGTACATCTTATGCAAACATCTTAAGTTTTTTTTAACTTTTGATCTATTAAATTATTTTATTAATGGGTTATTAACAAAATATTCACTTTACTTGAATTATACGACTAACATCTGAATCAAATGATATAATAAATAACATCAATAATTTAGTAATCACTTTTTTATTTTCAATTCACCATTTACGCTCTTGCCAACTTCAAATAACATCATTGTTAAACTGTGAGGATACATAACTTTATCGATATATATTTTAAAAGAGTGAAATGGTAGTTTCAAACTAATTTAGTTGTGTTACTAATTAGTTTCATCATGTAAAAAAAATTGCTTGCCATGGAAAAAGAGTTTGGAAATCTTTGCAAAATGTAACCCGAGGTTCGTTTGCATATGCCTAGTGGAGATGGAAAATATGTTTATAATGTAGCCAAGTAGTCAAATAAAGATGTCAGAAAAGCATCAAGTCATGTCTATAACTCCTTCGAAGTGCTAAAACAGAACTAATGATATGCAGTGACGTGCATTTTAATTTATATTTTAAACAAGGGATGTTTAAAACATACTCTGTTGTTTAAATATTCACTAAATATTTTATGTACATTTAGCCGATAGGTGTGAGCTAGCAGTTTATGATTGGTCCATAATTGCAAGTCCAGACTTCAGTTTTCGAGTTTACTTGAAAGGAAAATTTCCCTTAAAACATTCAAAAATTTTAGTGCTAAGCAACACATATAAATAATCCCATTAGCAAATTATTCATTCAGGAATTGGTAATTAGTAAACAGCTGGAAGTGATGAATGTTTTTGTATATTTTCTTGTAAGAGTGCTAGTGAATTTACAATGTACTGTTTCATAATCAGCAAGATAGGCTTAGCGTGGAGAACTTATTTTCCCTGACCAAAGTAGGTCTGGTTTAGAATGTGTATTTTAATTTAACACGTTACCAGATCGGATGATGTTCACAAGGTTGAACTTAATTTCAGTCTTATATTTGGCTTACAAATAAATGAGTAAACAAATGTACAATATTTAATCTTTTTTTTTTACAGTAAATCACAGTATATATTTATTCGAGAAATCTTGGAGCCATCTATCAGTTCAAATAAAAAACAGTGAAAAACCATCTCTTATAACAGTTAATTAAAAAAAAAAATTACTCGTGATACCTGTCAGCAAGTTGTCCAGATAAAAATACAGCACTCAGAAAACCACTCATGTACACAGACGTGCTTAATGAAGTCAACCACTCATTGCTGCAGACTAGGTCCCACTGTTAAGGAAAAACATATTTTAAAAGGAAAATATTTAATTCAGGTTATTATTATTATATTTTGATAACAACTGTAATAATAACAGATATTATTATAACGCTGAATAAAGATTTGCACTCACATTCTAAAATAGTAAATTTTATGTAAAATTCAAATGTAAGCTGTTTTTTGCGGATCATCATTTAAGATAATAAAATTCTATGAAATGTAAATACAAAAACCACTATTTGTTGATCATTATTTACCAAAAAATATTTATAAAATTCAAGTGTAAGCCGCAAGATACTTTTCGTCATTTACAATAGTAAATTTTGTGAAAAATTTCAATTGCAAGGCCTGACTTGGCCCAGTGGTTAGAACACTCGACTCGCAATCTGCGGAGGGTCGTGGGTTCGAATTCCTGTCACCAAACATGTTCGCTCTTTCAGACGTGAGGGCATTATAACGTGAAGATCAATCCCACTATTGTTTGTAGAAGAGTAGCCCAAGAATTGGCGGTGAGTGGCGTTGACTAGCTGCCTTCTCTTTAGTCTATTACTGCTAAATTAGAGACGGCTAGCACAGTCCTTTAGTACTTCTGAGCTCTGAGCGAAGCTAAGAAGAATAAAACCATTAATATGCAAGTAATTCGTTTTTGCTTCTTTGTTTAATCACATTGAGCTATCTGCTGTGTCCACCGTGGGGAATCGAACCCCAAATTTTAGTGTTGTAAGTCTATAGACTTACCGCTGTTCCATTGGGAGACCATTACTTTTTTTATCGTCACTCAAAGTAATACAATTTGTGCATCTAAAACAATGTCAAATTAAAGTGGAAATCACTTAATTATATTAATACTATTATCAATCAATCAATCAGAAGTCATAAACTTTGAATTTTGTGACGGATTTATTATTATATGTTTATTTTAATATCGATGTTTGCTTGAATTAAATTTATATTTACAAGTGTACATAACTTATACAGATAAATATATATTGCAAAACT